ACTCTATGACTACGACTCTATGACTACGACTCTATGACTACGACTCTATGACTACGACTCTATGACTATGACTCTGACATCGCTTTATAGTCCCCGAGCCTGCGGAGCGAGTCTCTCTTTTTCCGCCTAAACCAGCGGCGATTTCCAGAAGGGGGTTCTTGTAAATTGAGGTGGTAGATCTACCAATTTTACATTTTACATTCTACCAACATTTGGCACATAATCTACTAATTTTCTAAAATTTGGTTTGGCAACACCACCGCCCTGCCGGTCGGTGCCAGTGTACCACCGGCCTCTCTCGTTGTCACTCCGGCGCGCCGCTGGGCCGCTACCGCGGCCCCATTTGCTGTGTCATGGCTATGCCATAGCAATAAACATTACAGAAACCTTTGAGTACATAGTACTCCCAATGGCTGACATTACAATATATAAGCGATGAAATCGAATAGGCTACTCAGGATTTCTGTGGAGAATATTTTTTGCACCTCGTGACTATTATTTGAAGCAAGTGCCATTAAAATATTAAAATCCATGAAATTCAAAATGACGTAAAAGGTATAAAAATACTAATTAGTCGAAATCGATGAAAAATGCAACCACAAACAGTTACATATAAAAATGGGTTATTTCGTTTCACCATAACATAAAATGAATTTCTATACTAAACAGCATTGTTCTAAAGTGAAAAGAAAAAATGACATTTCATTAAAATCCGCCCCTGATTATGACCTATATTAATTGCGTTTTGCACCGGTAACATACTTTCACTAAAATATTGAGTTTATTAATTTCTTCTGAGGGTACAGTTAGAGCGGATGCATTCGCCAGTTGTATTTTATGGAGCCGCAGGCCGAGCAATGAATATCTGCAGAAGAATAGGGAATCTTCGTAGTGAGTCCACAGTCAACAAATCTTACACGATGATCACCGTGTAAGATTACCCGTGTAAGAATTTTTGAAAATTGCAAACGGAAATAATGCTAGAGAGTATGTTATATTCTAGCTTCCCTAGTTTTAATATCAAGGATCCACAAATCCTGTATTACAACTACATAACGTGTTAGAGGAAGTCATTTACTACGTATAGGAACTAAATCTGTCCACTTTTTTTTATATCAAAGCTCCCAATACGAGTTTTTCTATCGAAACATCACCGTTTTTTGCCACAGAATTCCAATACTTTTCTGTATAAATATGCGAGAAACTAAACAAATGGTGCTACGTCAAAACATACTTTCTCGATTTATTGCACTTTTTAACTGATGTTTTATAACATATTTAATAATAAAAAATATCGATCATTAATATTGTACTTTTGTGATATTAATTTTTTAGAATTTTGAAAATTACAGAGTTCACCGAAAATGTTTTTTTACCGTTCGCCTTTCGTTACCGTTCTTTGCTATATGCGAAGAAAAATGTAAAGAAAAAAATAGTCTTTTGACAAATTGTGTTTATAAATTGTTTTAACGTGAAGCAGAAATTATGCGAAAACTAATCGTTTAAAAACAAAATAATTGTACGTGATCTTTTTAAAGATAACATTTTTAGAAAATTTCATTTAAGGTAAAAATATCTATAATAGTTTTGCAGTGTTAACTTGTTGAAATTTCGTAGTTCGCCGGAAATCCGAACCATTTTTATGCTGCTTTGATACATACAGGGTGGGGGGTGGGGATTAAAGAAAAATTTCGAGCAGTTTCTGAGAAAATTGTGGTTTAAAAATTACTTATTTTTCATACGAAATTACGCGACAACTACTCATGTCTACGAAAAATTGTGCATGATCTTAATTCAAGATCTGATTTATTTAATTCTAGATTCTCATTTTTGTTAAAATACTTGCACTTGCGGTGCATATCGGCAATTATGTCGATAGACAGGGACAGCTGCCCTTTCTTACTTCTACAAAACAGACATGAATAAATCTCAACCGTTACAATATTTGCAGCACATTATACAGTCAAGCAAGGGTAATTTCACATATAAATTTTTTACCCAGAACTGAAAGCCATCCAATGTACGAGTATCGTCTTATGTATGGCCGTATGTATAGACCCTATTATATTTTAATATAGTACCGTTGTAAGCAATTTAAATGAGTATGTCATCACGAAGTACAGCGATTTATAATTTTTTTAACAACATTGTGGAGCGATTCTGGGTGTAATGGAGTTTGGGTTGTCTGGGTTTCGTGGAGTAATTCTTCTTGAACTTTGTCAGTCATTTGTCAACTTGTAAGACATTGCCTTCTATCCCTGTTGACCAGGCCCTCTGCGTCGTTAGTATCGTGGTTTCCAGACGGTCACCAATCCAGGAACCCGCAGTTTTTTCGAATTGCTTAACTTCTGTGACTTCACGACGCTAGGTTAAGAAGTTCGGTCACCGGTGCAGGCCTGAGTTTGAATATTTAAAGAAACGAATGCACTTTTCCGTATTTATTAACAAAAATACTATAGTTTAAAATTGTAGTGGGACTCCCATTGCTTTTTATCACTATCTGCCCCACTGGAGGGTTTGGCCCCTAAGCAGCTGCCTTGTTACTTTCTCCCTACGGAATAGAGATAAAGTTATGTAATGCGCGAAAAAAAGGCGAATTTTCGGCAGAAAAACTCTTCTTTGAGAGCCCTAGTAACGAAAAAATTGTTAAATTTCCAGTTGCTAAATTAAAAAAAAATCTCTATAACATGGTAGAGCCAGAATCCATGATTTGTGGGTCCTTGATTACAAAAAATCGCATAACGGCAAAACGTGTGTTCGTCTGTCAGTCCGTGAACAACGCTAGCGGCCAAGCCGTTCAGCTGATTTTCTCCAAAATTGATATTCCTCAATCAATCTGGATGATTTCGCGGCCCCTTGAATTTCAAACGGATATCTCAATTTTGATGAGTACTTTACAAGAAGCCTACTGGGACATTTTCCTAATTAAAAAATGGCTTCATCGTTTTTTATTAAATTAAGAGAACGGTTATCATGTTCGTTGAAAACCTTCATTTCAAAATTGCAAAAGCTTAAAGTCTTTTTGGCGTCTTCTTACAACTAAAATATCAAAGGTAGAGACGTTTTCCCTTAATGAAATTTGTTCATTAAAAAGATAAATTTTGAAACAAGGTCATGTACAATTTTTCGAAAATTTGAGTACCTTTTGTGCAATTTTGAGTGAAAATACTGGGGAGTAAGTTCATGCCGTTAGCTCCATTAGACTGCCTAAACGGAAGTTGCTTGTCATACCGTTATCATGGCGTCAAATAACGTTATTACGTTATATACGTTTTTATCAGTTAAGTTTTTTCCACGTTATTTTGGTTTTGCTGTAAAAAGGCAATGATAGGATGAGTTGGGCAGAAAATTATTTTTGTTTTTTGTATGAATTTAATATTTGATTAAAATTTACACAATTTTTCGTGGTTTGATTATCAATTGATGTCTATTCTGAAAAGAACTTCATGAGATTTCTGCTTCCACTACTGAGTACAGTATCACGGTTACGAAATATTTATCTCAAATGACTTTGACAAGAGGCATTCGTCCACTTTCTGATAACCTAGTAGCCTTGGTTTAGGAGAAAATCTCAGTAATATTGTTTTCTTCCTTCGTTGACCAGACCACTACCTGACATCCTGCAGTTCCACCCCATTGAGGCCAAACATAGTACTAATATTATGGATATTTGTGTTCATATTAAATTAGTGGCTTCTCACCAATGGGTTTACTTTTTGTGACTGAAATAGATGAATGAAAAATATTGTATATTATTATACGTAATGGCATCCAACCATTTCAAATAATTTTATGTTTGCAGTTAAAGTAAAATTTTTAGGTTTTTGTTTTGTTTTTGATGAAACTTTTGAGTTTCATAATTGTTGTGAAATTGGTCTAATTTTTATATGAAAGTATAGAAAATGTTGGGTAGGGCATAATCAATGATCAAGTTATAGAATTTCAAGTTCACTTTATTTTAATGAAGGAGAAGAAAAAGATTTAATTTGGCACAATATTGTTGTTTTCTGTCGTTTCACTTAACCAATAATGTGTTCTGTACTTTCTTATTTCTCATTTATGAAATCCAAGTGGAGCAAGGCTGCTGACAGAAGTAAAGAAAAAATAACTAAGTGCCTGTTCTTTGAAGAACTCTGACTTGTGTTGTTTACACTAGGAGTTACTTTTTGAAAAATGAACTTAATGTAGGCCTAACTAGTTAGGCCTATATACCTAAATCTAATTTATACCTGAAACTATGAAGAGCATTTAAAGACAAACCGTTTTCTTTGTTTCTGGTTTGGGCAATATTTGAATGAAATAACAGTTTTATTTTTGCCTTCGCTTTTGTAATAGTTTGATGCCTTGATTATTATACAAATTTTTTTCAAATTATTTGGTTTTAGAATGAATTAATCTTTATGATAACAAGAATAAAAAATTGCGGAAATTATAATTTTTACAACTGTCACATTTTCAATTCCTTACTTTCAGCCTACCATTATTATGAGTCCAGTCAGAAGTATAGCATCTTATGATAAGGCATTTGTAAATGGAGAGTGGGTGTCTGCTAAAAGTAGTAAAACATTCAAAGTTCTAAATCCTTATAATGGAGAGGTACTGAGTAATGTCCCTGACATGGACAGTATCGATGTGCAGGATGCTATACAAGCTGCTAAAATTGCTTTTGAAGATTGGCAGTTTACTACAGGAAAAGTAAGAGACTTTGAATTGCTAACTATTATGTTTGTTTAATACAGTGTTGTGCAAGGACATGTTCAGATGTCTTAATTCCTTTTTAAGCAACTTAGAAATAATTTCTATTATAATGCAGTTGTGAATTCTATTTGAATTTAACACGTTTCAAATTACTATTTGGAATATCTGTCTTAAAGATTTGTGAAATAACATAATTTCCATGATATTTATATTATAAGTTGTTATTATTTTCAAAAAATTTAATAATTAACTGGAATATTAAACAATTATATATCATTAATTTCTCGTGAGCAAATATTGTAAATATTTGTTCTTATTTATGTGTAAGAAATTTGCATAAAATTATTACATTTTTTTACTAATAGAAAAATATTTGTGGTGTAGGAAAGATCAGATTTACTACGAAAGTGGTACAATCTATTGCTTAAAAATCAAAAAGAGATTGCAAGTATTATAACATCTGAAGCTGGGAAGCCCCTTCAAGAAGCTCTTGGAGAAGTTGCATATGGAAATTCTTTTATAGAATGGTTTTCTGAAGAAGCTCGCAGAATCAGTGTAAGTTTTCATATATTTATTTATATTATCCTGATGTTCGGGTCATGATTTTATCTTGTACTTGGCCTCTATATAACCACATTTTAAAACTTAAATTTAATTGTTTGAATTATAATGAGGGTGAATTTGGTTATATTTTTCTTTTTTCACTTAATAATGTTGAGACCATTTTCCTCTTTTACTCTATTCATTAAAGTTTTTTGAAATAATTTGTCATGCATGCAAAAGTTCAACTAACATTAAATGCCATGACTAATCTCAGCAGTTCATCTATTAAAACTGCAGATGGAAGTTGAAGCTGCAGACTTTGAAAACCTTTTCTGGACGAATAAATTTTTAAATAATAAATTCTTGTGTGTGGGTGCATGCACGCACATGTGCATTTTTATGAGACCAGTTAGAAATATAGCATCTCATCATCATAAAGTGGAATGGGTCATTTATGAATAAATTAGTCTAGAATAAAATGTGTGGAAGTGTGACTGAGTGCATGTATGTGCATTTTATGTTTTTAATGATTGTCCATGCAATAAATGAATACTGGAAGGGTGGCTTTGTAGAGTTGAAATTTTTTAAAAAATTTCTTTTATGTCAATGTTACAAGTGGTTTAATATGAGTGTACATGCGTGTGTGTTTTTCCCTTGTGTTTTGCTTTAGATTTTTCACCTAGTTTCCCAAAGCTGCAGTAAAAGATTCAAGTTGGAACAATGTTTTATATTGTTATATAATTATTAGTTATATAGTTATTATGCAATATATTAAGCTTGTGTCTACAAGAGTAATGGACAAATGTCAATTGCACGGATCGAGGATATCAGCATTTTGGCATTCTAGAATGTGATAATCATAGGCTTACTGATTAATAATATGGAATGCCAGATAACAGACAGATATTTCATTGTAATATTTATTCCATACTTCTGTTGTTTTCAAATGGTGAAGCCCAGGTTACTTAGACCAATTTATAAATCTGGCGAGTTGATTGTGGTTTGTCGGCTTTTCAAGAATTTTGCATTTTATATTGTCATTTGACTGTACAATAACATTTTCAGGGTGAGGTAGTGTCTAGTCCTGTTAAAACAAAAGAAATGATTTTAGTCAAGCAACCTATTGGTGTTACTGCATTAATCACTCCGGTAAGTTGTCATGGCCTTCAAGTTGTGTTCTTTTAATTACTTTAATTTGTGTATTTTTTCAACATTACTTTTATAGTGATCAAAATAGTCTGTTCTGTAGTTTCCATTTAGCATTTCAGTAAATGAAAAAGAACACCAAGTGAAGCAAAATGTGAATACTTTTCACATTAAATTCATACTACATTTTTGACACTGTAGAGTAGAAAGTTATTTATTTGCAGATTTATTGGAGAGAGATTTTAAATGATTCATTATTACATTTTTTAGTGGAATTTTCCTATAGCTATGATAACACGAAAGGCAGGAGCTGCTCTTGCTGCAGGTTGCACATGTGTTATAAAACCTGCAGAAGATACTCCATTGACAGCTCTCGCTGTGGCAGATTTAGCACATGAGGCTGGGATTCCCAAAGGGGTTATCAATGTAGTGACATGTGACCGAGGCAATGCTCCAGCTGTTGGAAAAGTGTTGTGTGAAAGTCCGGATGTTGCAGGATTATCATTCACAGGTATTCACTTATTCTTTCCGTTATTTGTGTTGTCTTTGACAGTAGTTTTTAGTGTAGTATGGAGTATACTGTTCACTTCTCTCTCACATCATTTTCCTCTAATTTTCGATTGGTTGCCTCAGAATTTTCTTTTGTGTCACATACATCGTGGATTTTCTCATTTGCTTTGAGGTACTATTGTGATGAAATGCTCATTTCTAGTTGTGAACTAATACATTTATCCAAACAATGAAAATCAGTAGACTGCAACTCTTCAGGAACTACTACAATAACTTCTCAATTAAAGCTAATCTCGTAGTTTGGAATGACTTGCATTTAATTGACCGCATGGTGGTTTTGAGATAAATAGCCTTGGAAGTTTTGAATGTCAACAATTATTAAATTTCATTGAAATTTTTGGTCAAATTGTGCAGTTATGATTCAATACATATTAAGTTCAGGATTTTATTGTAAAGAAGTTTAATTATTATAAATATAATAATTTTGAGATAGGGATGATTAACAGTTAAAACCTTATAATTCACACAACTAATCTATTTGCAATACAAAGTTGTATCTCCAATATTCAGCTATATCAGGTAAAATAAACTTTACTTATCATTCATTATGAAGCAAAATACACTTTTATTAAGGCTAAATGCACCGAAAAATACTTGTAGGAAAATTCAATAGATAGCAGCACTATCACGGGGGAATTTACTTTCCTGATAACGTCTGAACCAATGGTCCGATTTTCGATCTGT